ACAGATAAATGATAAATTGTGCTGAACTGTACAATTAGCTGATGGTTGACTCTAAAGCTGCAATGCCCTATTCATTTGTCACTCTCCACACGTGGCTATTGATCACTGCCCAGTTCAAGGTGAGATGTGCTGCAACAGTAAAATGCACGTGTGACTTCAAAGACCTAGTTTGCAGAAAAGAATGTAAATATCTCACCAATAATCTTTTACATTGATAATAGAAAATAATGATATTTGTAGATAGAAGGTTACTTTTCCTGTTTTTCATGTAGCTATTAGAAATTTTTAAATGACATATGTAGCTCAGATTAAATTTCCACTGGACAGTGCTGCTCAAAAGTTATTCTTTTAAAATAAGTAAATGATCAACCTCTTTTAATGATTTATTTGCCTTTAATTATTTATATGCCTTTCTGTAATAAAAGCAGAATAAAGGATCTGTGTTGGTAGAGGGGGGTGGGTAGTGGGAGGCAATGGAATGCAATTATTTCTATACCTGATTGTTTAAACTTTGAACAGGTGTAGGGAGACAAAAAGTTGCTGAATCAAATATAAATATAAACCAGTTCTGAGAGGTGATCTATGACATGGGTGCCACCAAAGCAGAGTGATGGTTCCCTGAAGCATTCTGGAACATTCCAATGTAATTAACCTGTGCCACAAAGCCACCATCTACCTAGCACAACATGGGAGAGGTTCACCTGAAGTTTCAGTAGTTAAATTTTCTCTAGTTTGCTACCAGAAAGGATTACATGAAGGAACTATTATTAACTATCCAAGGGCTCTTTGAAAGTCATGCCTGCAAATGTGGGAATGTAGCACTTTCAGTATTTTACTTCATAGCTACCCAACTGCTCCAGAGAGCAAAGCCCTCGAAAATAGCAAAGTGACATAAATTATTGATTATTTAAAAAATTCATATTAACAACCCAAGTTTTAAATTCACAATGGAATTCTAAACAGGTGACAAATTCTAAATTGACACTATTGTGTGCTTATAATACAAGGACAAAAAACACAATTATTGGAAATTGATGAGTCTTCCATGTCATGAAGTCAACACAAATAAGTGTGTAAAATTTTCTTTAAAACACCGATACAAGCCCTGGCTGGCGTAGCTCAGTGGATTGAGCGCGGACTGCGAACCAGTGTTGCAGGTTTGATTCCCAGTTAGGGTACATGCCTGGGTTGCAGGCCACGGCCCCCAGCAACTGTACATTGATGTTTCTCTCTCTCTCTCTTTCTCCCTCCCTTCCCTCTCTAATAAATAAATAAATAAAACCTTTAAAGAAAACACCGATGCACACATACACACTTTCTGAGTCAAACTCATGTCATAAAACACAAGCTTTATAGTGAAGAAAAGTTATAGTGAAGAAAAGACATCATCAATCCAGGTTATCAGTGTTAGTACAGGAAAGAGAACTAGTGATTCAGAAAGATTCTCTGTCTTACATTACTAATTTCCTTCAGGCTTTTGTAGAATATTAGGAAAGGCAACTGCAGTATATGTGTATTCAAATTACAGAAATTCAACCATAGGCACCTGGCAGCAAGAGAGAGCTATTTTTTAAAACAACAAAATAGAAATCGCACCATTCCATTGAATGAAATTTTGCCCCAGAGTAAGAAGGGAAAGAAGACCTGTCCTTTTAAAATTGGTTTCAGATCCCAAATCTTTCATGGTGGGTCTCACAGGTGATTAAAGGCATTATAAAGAATAATTTTGTCTGTACCTAATCTTTACTTATTTGTTGACTTTAGAATGTAAATCCCCAGCAAGAGGGCTTGATTGTGTCTGATGACACAATGCATTTCATTAAGTCACAACGTCAATTATAATCATTCCCAGCACTTCCTGTCTCCATCCTTCTGTCCATGATTATACTTGTGCTTTAGGAAGATTGTTTGCTGTGTAACAAATGGTCAGACTGAGCAAGAAAGCAGGAACAACAGTTACTTGTTGACCTGAATTACTAAAATGATGGAAAAGGATAAAAGTGAATAAAGGTTTCCTAAAAACGATGTCTGTATAGCTGCTTCATAGAGAGTGCTTCAGTTCTTAACAGGAGTCCACAAATTATATAGTATTAGTATTTCTCCAAAATGAGTGGGTACATTCATATTCTCTTTGCAATGTATATATTTTGTTGAATAAGATAAGCTTAAAGTGACCTTTATACTTTCTCTCTTCTTCAGCAGTTTCATGTTGGTTACAGAGTTTGTGACTCAAACAGTTTTAATGCATTTAAATATTAAACACTTGTTCCAGAAACTGCTGTGCTCTAGAGATTCAGAAATAATGATACCCATCTTGCCTTACCTCTCACTTAATTCCAAATGTGATATAGGAGACTTCTATAAATGGTGTATAGTACATAAGACACAAAGGAAAAAATGTAGATAACACCATTGGAAATGGTAGCCAAATTAAGCTCACAATTTTCCATTGTACATACAGGATATTGTTTGAAGTTCAGGTCATTTCCTAATTTTTAACTCAAAAGTAACAAGTTTCTGAAATTCTTTCAAACTGTACAATTCTCAGAATCAACCTATAAGCAGAAAATGATTTCATTTTATCTAGCAAGTGATAAATATGACATCACTATATTTTAAAAACCTGCAAAACAAACAGTATTGTATGGTTCTTTTTCTTTTTCTTTCTTCCCCAGTAGCAAACCAACAATCTGGCATGGTCTAATAAACTACTGTTAAGTCTAGGAATATTTGGGTCCAAATTTTCTTTATTCCTATTACTACTGACTTGCTAATAGATTTCTTTAGCTTTAGGGTTTTAATTAGAAGACAGTTACTACTTTGCATGATCAAATTATAATTGCTGCTTGAGTGCAATCTAACCAATTTAAGTATCAGTGTGTGGGTACATCCAAAACAAACAAACAAACAATGTCTAGCAAAAGAGAGTAACAAATGCATGCTCTAATGACCCAGATTATCTAATAAGGTTTGCCTAACTTTTGAGAGTTTCCTCCTTTTTATTTTGTAGAGCTGGATAGCAAATGATATTAGAAATATCAGTGCATTTTAAGGGCACATCATGATATGTGAAAAATAACAAATGAATGTTCTTCAATAAACACTAATGACAGTCAGAAATCTACCCCAGTCTTCGGCCTCCTGTTTGTTACATGTGTGCTCCCAGGTGATCCCTTCACATTTCTGAGTATGTTTTACACACTTGTAAAATGAGAATTATGAAACCTCACCTGAGAGACATGTCAATTTTTTGGATGTCCCCCAAATCTAGGTGAGAAAAATGATAAACAAGAAAATAAGCAAAAGGTCTCATGTGTACATTCTATTACTGTTCATTGTCATTCTGCCATAATGTTGTCCTCTGATTCAACAGTACCACATATGTTTTAAGTAAAATTGTAATGTGACAAAAGCCTTTTGATATTTCAGATAAACACTCTCAGCCCAGTTTCAAGGTAGATCTGTCTTAGAAGGATTACCATGACATAAACATGGAATCACCAAACTTTTTCTGTAATGAACACATATAAATATTTTAGGCTTTACAGGCCACCTATGATCTATTTTACATAGTCTCCATTTTTTTTAACCTTTTAAAATATAAAAGCACTCTTTTTCCTTGGGGGGGAGAGTAGTTTCATTTTAAAAACATTCTATGATGAAACACTTTTAAATCCGTTTAAAAACGAGTGGTATTTTCTGAACAATAAATTTGTTTAACATATTATTAGGCTGTTTGACTAGACCTCACCCCCTTTTTTGCACTTTTTATTGGGGTATAATTCATAGAACACAAACTTAACCAGTAACTATTTTAAATGAGCACTTAGTACATTCACAGTGTGTGCAACCATTACCTCCATCTCATCCTAAGATACTTCATCAAATGTTGGCATTTATAGCTATAAATTGCCCTCTTAAAAGCTACTTTTGCATCTCATAAATTTTGATTTGTTGTGTTTCCATTTTCCCTGGGTCAGGATACTATGTGATGTCCCTTTTGATTTCTTCTTTGACACATTGATTCATCAGAAGTATGTTGTTAAACTTCCACATATTTGTGAATTTTCCAGTTTTTTATTGCTTGTGCTTTTGGTGTTCTATTTCATCGCCAAATTCAAGGCCATGAATATTTACCCCTGCTGATCTTGTATGCTGCACCTTTGCTGAATTTGTTTATTTAATAGTTTTTTTTTGTAAATTCTTTAGGGTTTTGTGTATGTAAGAGCATGTCATCTGCAAATAGAGATAGTTTTACTTCTTCCTTCCTAATTTGCATGCCTCTTATTTCTTCTTCTTGCGTGATTACTCTGGTTAAAACTTCTAGTACAATGTTGAATACACCATATTCTTTCAAAGATTATTTTTGGCTGCAAGCGGTTTTTATTCAAAAACAGTTTGTTAAAGGTACAGATATCTAATGAGTGATAAGGGGGCAGCGAGGGTGTGGCTGGGAATGGTGGCCAGAGGCAGTCATGGTTCTCCTGGACTTCTGGTTAACCAGCTGTGTGGACACAGCTGTGTCTGAGAGGTAAATCTGAAGAGCATATAGTTTCTACAAGTGGTCAATACTTGTTCCTTGCTTCTTTTTGATGGTTATATGTAAACTAAAAGAGCAAATTGTTAATTGTAGCAGATTGTAAAACCACTCTTATCTCTAAGGCCACACAAAAAAAGGCCGGAGCTGAACATGGCCTTCAGCTCCGGCTCCCAAGCCTCTGACCAAAGACTGAGTGTCCTTGCTTTTAAGTGTCTAGGCTCAGTCCTACATTTCATGTGTCCTCAATATTTTTACACTTTTTTTCTTTTTATTATTCATTTGCCAAAATCTAATAAAATTTTCTTTTCTAGAGCTATAGGAGTTCCAACTACTGCAGCCTCAGTTGGTTCTCAAAAGCTGTGTCACACAAGCAAACTTCTTGGCAGAAAACCCTTCCTAAGTCACTATGCTTTTCACCAACCTCCTGGGCAGACACAGAAAAGGTTTCATGGCCTCTTACCTTGCTGGAGGAACATCAATGTTGGAAGAAACAACTTTCCGCTTTTGCTCAAGGAGACAGATGGAACGGGTATTTTCTTTGTCATGGTCAAGGGCTTGGTTTGCAGTTTTGGTGTCTGCTGTTTTCACATCTTCCTCCACGGCCAAGGGGAACAAGGGCTGATGAGACATTTTTTTACTTGAGTCTCGTTTTAGGTCCTCTGGTTGAAACGTGAAGGACATGTCCCGCTTAATGCTCCCTACCTGTGAAATGAACATAAAAATTCACACTGGCACCCACGTTAGCTCTGTACGACAGCGTACAGGTGGCTGCAATGGGAGACCGCAGACACAGCCCTCCTTGTTCATCTTGAAGATTGTATAGTTTAAATGGGAAAAATGTAACAGAAATAAAATACATGAACTACAACATAATACACAATTAATGCATGTTTTGTCATATGCAAACAAGAAGCATCAAAATATGACAGAAGCCTTTTAGGCACACAAAAACTTCAAAGGCTTGAAAGCATAAGACTTCTAAAGAAAATCTAAGAATTTAAAACATCATTGTTTTCTACAACTGAGAAAACTCAATTAAGTTAATAAATTCTTAAATACTTCATGCTGATTATGTTTCATAGAAGACAGCTATAAATTAAAAAAAAGCCTTATCTTTGACTGTGAATACTGATCTTAACCATACTCTTTCATTCATGAAGAACTGGTTTTTTTGGAGGGGACGGGAAGATGGTGGCTTTACTCTAGGCAGCATTTTTCTCAGCTTCTGTGAAGAGGAGGGAAACTCGTGGATCGGTGGAGAAACAGAGCAAGTGGACTAGGTTACTGAATCACTTTTGAAAGCAGGACATCAAAAATTATTGTGATCACGGAAAAACCAGACGGTAAGGAGACTTCTTCAGGACAAAAGGGGCCCAGGGATCGGCGGGGGGACTAGGGGTGTGCAGTCCCCAGGCCCAGTGCTCGGGGCTCCCGGGAGAGGGGAGTCGCTGCTCCCTCCCCCGAATATGGGGGTGAGCAACTCCAGGGGAGAACGTGTTGCTAGAAGGAACAGATTGGCCAGTTGGACTGGGAAAAAATCGCCCAGGGACTATGAACACCCGCCCAGAGACTTGGGAGAAGTGAGGGCCTCTAGCCGACAGGACCAGGGGCAGCCTGGGAGAGCGCCTGCACCCCTAGCCTGCACCCCTAGCAGGGAGGAAGTGCAGATCGGTGGAGAGCACAGAGTCAGAACACTCTCGGTTCGCGCCCCATAGGGAGGTCTGAATCGCACGCTGGGATGCCGGGATGCCGGGAGGGACGTGGTGCTTGGTGTGTTCCTACAGTAGTGGCTCAGAAATTTCCAGCCAGCCCAACCTGGGGAGCTGGGAAAGGCGCCAACACCCGGTCGGAGTGCTGTGGCGGTGACCACAGAGCTGGAAAGGGCTCGGCTTGCGCACCATCAGGAAGACTGTCTCGAGCTCGCTGTGAATCCAGAACAGGCACGGCGAGGCGCTTAGGGCGATGCTAGACCCCTAATTACAAAAGTTTGGGGGAAGGGCGCGCCCTTTTACGATTCCCAGGGAGGGCGCAGTGAATCACAAAAAGTCGCGGGTACCTCCTGAGATCATAGAGCTGGAATCCTGCAGGACCCTGGAGTCTGGAAGAACGTGGAAGTGAGATCCAGAGAGCCAGTGTGCTTGGGAGTGCCCAGGGTACAGCAAGTCTGTATTCTGACAGACTTGCTGAGATTTGGGCTGGGAGAGAGAGAAGCATTTCAAAGGTCCCTCAGCCAGCTGAAGCCAGCAAGACCAGAATAACTGGTCTGGCCAGTTAGAAACCAACAAGAGGTGTTTTTGTTGTTGTTGTTGTTGTTTTTGTTTTTTTTTTCTTCTTTTTTTTTCTTTTCTTTTCTTCTCTTTTTTTTTTTGTTTGGTTTGGTTTGGTTTGGTTTTTGTGGCTGTTGTTAGTTGATTGATTTTATCTTGTTTTATGTGACATTTTATTTTTCAATTCTTATCATTTTTATCTCGCAATCCCTTATGTTTCTCTTCCATTCATCCAAATATTATTCTTTCCACTCCAAATTTATCTCTCCTGCACTACATCTTCTGCTTTTCTTTCCTTTTTCTTTTTTTTTATCTTGCAAGTTACTGAAAATTTGTATTATTTTTTTCTAACTTTTCTGACATTTTTTATTTTAATATTATTTTGGTATTCTTTTTCTTTCTATATAATCTTCTTTGCTTGGCTGATTATACTGTCATTTGATAGGTTCCCCCTGGTATCTCAGTAACAAGGTGTTGATAAGTTACTATCCTTCATCTGTGTTCCATTAATACACCTCTCAAGGTTCTATACTCTTTATTCTTGTTATCTAGACCTCATTGATTCTGCCACAAGACTGTCACTTTACTATTACTGTTAGTAAGACCTAGTCTATACAATTGTAAATACTTCTCAATACCCCTACCTGATCTCAGCCCACTTTGCAATTTTCTGAACTATACTATTGTGGGGGTTGTCTCTATTCTTTTACACACTACTCCTATATACTAATATTTAATCCAACCCTACCTTAGAAGCTGACCTCCCACAGCCTCACAACTTTCTAGATCCAACTAACAATCCTCTCATCCCCAATAAGAGTCTTACCTTCTTTCCATCCTTTCTAAAATGTGGATAGTGGGGTGGAGGATCATGGTTAACACTATAAGGAGCCAAAGGATAACCCATCTCTTCTCTACTGGCTGCTAATGTAAATATCATAGTATACTGTCTTGCTGTCTTAAACCATTTTGCCTTATTCCTCCAACTGATCACAAAAAAGAGTAGGGGGAAGCTGTGAACACCAGGATACACGAAGGAGATTGCACCACTGAATCTCACAAATATTCTACCACAGAACTCACACCATAATTACAGGGAATCAGAACAGATCAAATTAAAAAACAAGAAGAAAAAAAGAAGAAATACACGAACAATGAGAAAACAAAGAAACAACCCCCAATTGAAGGGAAACAAGGAAGCCTCAGGAAAAATGCTAAATGAAATAGAGGCAACTCAGTTATCAGACAGTGAGTTCAAAACAATGATTACCAGGAAGTTCAACGAACTCACAAAGAGCTTTCAGAAATTAGAGGGAAACTACATCAATGTCACTGCAAACTATATAAACATGAAAAAGGAAATAGAAACTCTCAACAAAGGTCAAGAGGAAATGAAGAATACAATTTCTGAACTGAAGAAAACAGTAGAAGGAATGAAAAGCAGGATCGATGAAGCAGAAGATCAGATTAGCGAGCTGGAGGACAAAGTAGAAAACAATACCCAGAAAGAGCAAGAAAAGGAAAAGAGGCTCAGAAAGAATGAAGATGGATTAAGAGAAATGCAAGACCATATGAAACGTAATAATATCCGTATAATAGGGATACCAGAAGGAGAAGAAGAAGAGCAAGGGATCGAAAACCTAGTTGAACAAGTAATGAAGGACAACTTCCCTCATTTGATGAGAGAAAAAGTCACACAAATCCAGGAAACACAGAGAGTCCCAATCAAGAGGAACCCAAAGAGACCCACCTCAAGACACATCATAATTAAAATGGCAAAATTTCAAGACAAAGAGAGAATCTTAAAGGCAGCAAGGGAGAAAAAGGAAGCAACGTGCAAGGGAGCCCCAAGAAGGCTAACAGCCAACTTCTCAATAGAAACACTTCAAGCCAGAAGAGAATGGCAAGAAATACTCCAGGTAATGAGAACCAGAGGTCTGCAACCAAGGGTGCTATATCCAGCAAGGCTCTCGATCAAGATAGAAGGCCAAATAAGAAGCTTCCCAGACAAAAGAAGTCTAGAAGAATACACCACGACCAAACCAGCTCTGCAAGAGATCCTAAAGGGACTGATTTAAGGAAGGGAAGGAAAAGAGAGAGAGAGAGAGAGAGAGAGAGAGAGAGAGAGAGAGAGAGAGAGAGGAACACATGTACATAAAAGAAAATGAATAAGTACCTATCAATAATAGCCTTAAACGTAAATGGATTAAATGCTCCAATCAAAAGACACAGAATAGCTGAATGGATAAGAAAAAATGACCCACATATCTGCTGTCTACAAGAGACCCACCTCAGGATAAAAAGACCTACACAGGCTGAAAGTGAAGGGCTGGAAACAAATCTTCCAAGTAAATGGACAGGAAAAAAAAAGCCGGGGTAGCAATACTCATATCAGACAAAATAGACTTCCAAAAAAGGGCCATAAAGAGAGACCCAGAAGGTCACTTCATAATACTCAAGGGAAGAATCCATCAAGAAGACATAAATATTGTAAATATATATGCACCCAACATAGGAGCACCCAAATACATAAAGAAAATCTTAGAGGACTTCAAGAAAGATATGGACAGCAACATAATTATAGTGGGAGATTTTAACACCCCACTATCAAAAATGGACAGACCTTCTAAACAAAATATCAACAAAGATATTGTGGCATTGAACAATACCCTTGATGAAATGGACTTTACTGATATATACAGAGCCCTCCATCCAAAAGAAGCTAAATATACATTCTTTTCCAATGTACACGGAACATTCTCAAAGATAGACCACATGATAGGACACAAAACAAGCCTCAAGAATTTCAAGAAAATTGAAATCATACCAAGCATTTTCTCGAATCACAAGGGACTGAAGCTAGAAACCAACCCGAAGGAAAAAAACCAAAAACACTCAAAATCATGGAGTTTAAATAGCATGCTATTAAACAATGAATGGGTCAAGAATGATATTAGGGAAGAAATCAAAAGGTTTCTGGAAACAAATGAAAACGAACTCACAACAACCCAAAACTTATGGGACACAGCCAAGGCAGTCCTGAGAGGGAAGTTCATAGCGATACAGGCCCACCTAAAAAGGTTAGAAACATTCCAAACAAACAACCTAACCCTACATCTACAAGAACTCGAGGAACAACAACAAAAGGCAGCCCAGAGCAAGCAGAAGGAAGGAAATAACCAAGATCAGAGCAGAATTAAATGACATAGAGACTAAAAGCACAATTCTAAGGATCAATGAATCCAAGAGCTGGTTCTTCGAAAAGATAAACAAAATCGACAAGCCTTTAAGCAGACTCATCAAGAAAAAAAGAGAGAAGACCCAAATAAACACAATCAGAAATGAAAGAGGAGAGAGTACAACAGATACCACAGAAATACAAAGGATTGTAAGAAATTACTACAAAGAGCTGTATGCCAGTAAATTTGAAAACCT